TGTCACCAGCACTGCCATTTTGAAGGCTTGTCTTGGACCTAACAAGACCATTGATTGCTCTAGTTCCAGGGGATCTGACATCCTCTTCTGGTTTCCAGGGGTTCTGCATACAGTGGTACACTTACTTTTAAGCATAATATTCATATGCATAAAATAAAAATAAATAAAACATTAAAACTTAACCAAAGCCTATCTTGTGGAGCACATCTTTAATTCCAGAATTTGGGAGGCAGAGGCAGGTGAATCTCTATGAGTTTAGGACTAGCCTGGTCTACATAGTGACTTCAAGGCCGGCCAAGGATACATTGTGAGACCCCTCTTCCCCAACAAAACAAAGCAAAACAGTCTATCTTGCTGCTTAGACAGAGGAATTAGGTTACTCTGTATCATCTAAAGCAAACTCATGTTGTCAGTGAGAACAGTTACATTTTAAAATCAGTGCCTGTTATAGTACTTCAATGCTAGCTAGCCTCTGGGATGAACAGCCGTTAAAGCTACATAGAACAAACCAGAGGGAAAGCATTTACAGAAACAGGTTTTTATAAGCAAGCTAACATTAGATTTGAACTAGGTTACCCAGGCTATGCTCCCCTGGAGGGTTCTTGCTCTCTCTTTCTTTAATAAATGTCAAAGAAGATGAAGGCACCCTACTGAGGTTCTGCCTGTGAGTCTTGGACTTTTATTTCAAATGTAGTGTTCTGATACCATAAGCAATTCCATGCGATGGCCACACATTAACTAACTTGTCACTGTTTCTCTCTTAAAACTCACATGTAGCTCATTTGACTTCTTAACAAGCACAGAGACACAGAGACACAGAAGAAGGAAGAAGATATGTGCTAGAATGATTGATTGATTTAATTTTTTTTTTTTTGAGACAGGGCTTCTCTGTGTAGTCCTGGAACTCACTCTGTAGACAGACTGGCCTCAAATGCAGAGATCCACCTGCCTCTGCCTCCCAAGTTCTGGGATAAAAGATGTGTGCCACCATGACTGGCTTTACACTTTTTTTCCTGACCTACTTTCAGTTGTGAGCAAGTCAGTTATGAGAGCAGCTTCTATTCTTGTTATTTAGTTTCAGGGTTATGGCTAGGGTGTAGTCCCAAATGGCTGGAATAAAGACTTTCAATTGTCTATAAACTGTGTCTGAGTGATCATCTCTGGTAGGCTCCCTAAAACAATCCTCTCAGAGGTAAAGTATAGAAAAAATGTTTTTTTTTCCTTAAATTTATTTATTTTTATTCTTGGACTTTAGGTTTAAAAAAGACACAGAAACAATCGTCATTGTGTAGTCCAAAATGACCCTAAAGGTTCACACACATGCTCAAACATTTTTAAAAGGAGTTCCAATTGAGATCACCAGCTTAAAATGAGCTGACAGTGATTCAGAGCACTAGCTGCTCTTCCAGAGGACGGGTTTGATTCTTAGCACCCACATGGCAGCTCACAACTGCCTGTAGCTTCAGTTCTAGGGGATCTCATACCCTCTTCTGGCTTCCATGGACATCCGGCATGCAAGGGGTGCACAGATAATGATGATGAGAAAAAGAAATACAGAGGAAAGGACATGGCTGCTCCTAGGCATGGTGGAGGCGAAAGGTTATTGTAGCTGTGTGGGAGACCATAGCCAGAGGAGGGGACATCTGGGAAAGCCCAGAGCAGAGCTGACCCCAGCTACGTGAGGAGACGGGAAGGAGAAGGGAGAGGGAACTAGGAGCAGCAGCTAAGAGGGCAAAGGAAAGACCTGAGAGAACAGGTAACCAAAATGGCTGGATTATACAGGGAAGGGCAGCTGGGGAAGGGGCATGCCAGCCCCTGGGCTGAAGAAGTTTGGAGTAGGGGTGGGGTATGCCAGCCAGGAGGGCCCTGTATCAGGTAGGGACTGAGGGATGCAGGGAAAGCCTAGTGACAATGTCCTCTTTGAAATGTTTAATAGGCACCTCAGCCATTTGTCCCAGGTTTGAGACCCAACACATAATGCAGACAAAACATCCATATACATAACATTTTAAAAAAAAAAGTAAATAACTGGACGGTGGTGGTGCACACCTTTAATTCCAGCAATTGGGAGGCTATCCTGGTCTATGTAGAAAGTCCAGGACAGCCAGAACTGCTACACAGAGAAACCCTGTCTCGAAAAACCAAGTAAATAAATAAATAAATAAACAAACAAACAAATAAATAATTTAAAATTTAAAAGTAGGGCATGGTTAGAAATAAGTTCTGGGAGTTGGAGAGTGGTTAAAAGCACTGGTTGCTCTTTCAAGGGTCCTGAGTTCGATTCCCAGTGCCCACATGGTGCTCACAACCATCATGCCCTCTTCTAGTATGCAGGAATACATAATAAATAAATCAATTTTAAACAAAACTGCTTTAAAAAGAAAGAAAGAAGTTCTGGGTCTCAGAGAAAGAGATCACCACTCCAACTGAAGAGTCTGGACCAGACAAACTTAACACTTGCTCAATGGGTGTGCTCAGAAGGGCAAACACATGGAAACAGGAAGTAAGCACATTTGTGGTCTGTAAGTTAATAGATTCCAATGATTTTTACAGATTAGTCACGGGATGCTAGTTCTGATTCAGGTGGACAAAGAGGCTGTTCTGGGGGCTACAGCTAGTCCAAGATAAGTTAACTAGCTTCTGCAGCTGCAACATTCCCGCTTCTCCACATCATTGCAACTGTAACCAGGCACTTGGTTTTTCTAGAATTCTCATTAACAGTGTCTTGATCGGACAGACCTCCAATTTATCAGAACAGGAGCCCTCTTGGTGGGAGAAAAAGGCCCCATTATGCCTTTGTTTTAAGCTGCCAGGCTTTCGCCTCAGGTCAGGAGAGGTGTAAGAAGTTGTGCTTTTTCATCTTAGAAGTTTGCTTCTTTTAGGGTTTATTTTTATTATTTTTAGGTGTGTGTGTGTGTGTGTGTGTGTGTGTGTGGTCTCTGTATAGATTTATACATGTGCAGAGACTCAAAGACGCCAAAGGGTTGGGAACCCCCGTGAGCTAGAGTTACAGGTGATCCCGAGCTGTGCATATGAATGCTGGGAACGGACATCAGGTCCTCTACAAGAGCGGTAAGTGCTCTTAACAGGTGAGCCGTCTCTCCAGTCTTCTTGCTGTCTTACTCCTAGTGCTGCTCCCCTCCCTGTCATTCCATCAGGGATCTTGCTAACTGCTAATCCTCCAGTTTAACCTTTCACATCTTTCAGAAGCACTTTGCCCAGTGCTAAGATTATCACTAATACATTCTCCTTGTCCTTAGGGCTGGGATGCAGTAGGACACAAAAGAAAAACAAGATTTTGCCTTTCCACTACTCCTGGGTAGACCCTGCTCTGAGACCCTAGTGCCCAGTGCTGTTCCCCTGTCCCAGCTTCTGCCCAACATCCCTTCTTGCAACAAAGCCCTGGGTAGCCACATCCTTCTAACAGCATCCATGAGACCAGAACCTGGTCACGACCCTCTGGTTGGTCAGTCTGTGCTAACAGATGTACCCCACTGCTGTATGGCTGCTGGCTGTTTCTGATCCTATCACTAGATGTGGCAATGGTCTGGCTGTTGTTATGATAACCATCTAAGCATTTCCCGCCAGGCTCTGATGCCCATATTGTCTTTTTACTGATGTCGGACTTGCTAATAGTGTTGGAGAAAGCCAGGGTTCAGGGTTCAGGTTTGAGGTAGCTATGGGTCACCTTTGTCCAGTTTAGCATATAAACCCTTCCTCCTGCTCAGGGGTATGGGAATCATCTGTCTTGCTTCTTTGTGAGAAATACATCTGCTACTGAATTCCCAGGAACATGTGTCCTGGGCAGTTCTGGGCACACCTGCCATTCTTGAGGGCCTCACAACACCTGTGGCTAGTTATTATATAACGGGACTTGATATTTTTGGAACCAAGATGAGTCCCCACTCTGGCTCTGAGCTGCCTCTGAGAGCCTCTATGGAGGGGACAGTGGGGTATCCTGACCCTCCTATGCTGACAGCAGGGATGCTGTAGGGAGCCAGTTACTGACAAATTCTCAGGTCTAGAATTCTTTGGCATCTTTGTTTCTGCCACAAGATGGGTGGGAGAGATCGTGTCTGTGGCAGAACCGGGGTCATTTTAATGGGACACTGTAAACTGTAAAGTGAGAGTGCCCTGAGTTTGGCAGCACTGCTGGCTTCTACCTACTGTGTGCCCGTGAGGTCGTCACAGGCTCCAAACCAGAAATGCCCACGGATGCTGGCTGATGGTGTCTCCTTGGGGCACACTCTCCTAGCTGTGAAGGGTTGGGCCCAGGATGGAATCCAGGTGATCTCTGGGTTCCTGCCAGGAACACAGAGCTTCCAGAATCAGGCTAGTTAGGTATCCCTTTGGCCCTAAAAGGGCAAATTCCATTGTAGAGTTGGGAGTGGGGCAGGCACATGGTCTATCCCTTGGGTCTTGGCCCTTCAACCACCCAAACACTCCAGTAGCCAGAGCTACAGGAAAGTGTAGTCTAATTGGTCCACAAACAGGAGAGCTTGGCTTGGCCCACTGTGGGCTCCAGGCAACATCTTTTCTTGGATTTGACAGCAAAGTTAGTCACAGCAGCCACAGTCCTGGGTTGTGGGTGTCCCTGACCAGCACTGGGCTCTTAAACCTCGGTTGCTCACTGAAGCAGCAAGGAGGCCCTTGCAGGATGCCCTGGGGAATTTCTGCAGGATGCACTGTCTGGGGCTGGAAAGTGCACACTTAGCAGAGGACCCTTAGGCCTGGAGCTCTTTGTGACATGTGTTGGGTATGGCTGTGTGTTCCCAGCGTGGGGGAGTTGCTCCACTGGAGTCTCAGAGTTAACTAGATGGATGGTGGATTCTCTCACCCATAAGACACAGGCTGCATCCGGGATATCTGACACTTCTGTCTCTTCCCAACATTCCTGGTGATGCTGCTGCAAACAGGTGGTGACACCCATGTAACCCTGCTAGCAAAGGACTCCAGGTCTCCCCTCCCATCCTTCCTGAGGTCATATGCCACTTCCTCCCAGCTCTTCCTCCAAGCAGTGACCAGGCCAAAGCCCCCTGCCCACTTCCTGGGGCTTGAGGATAAAGGGGCTGAGAGGCCTAGGCAGGAGGACGTTGTGGAGACCGGGCATGGTAAGGGCACCATCCTCTCCTTTCCCAGATACCTTCACTGACTTTGGATTTCCATGCTCTCCATCCCAACCTAGGCAAGCCCAGTCCCCTCCACACCTCTCCATGCTCCTGTTCTTGCCCCGAATCATGCTCAAGTCCTCTCCACCCTGACCCAGACTACTTCCAGGCCCCTCCAACTCCTGGCCCCTGTGCTTCTCTCTACAGATGTGGAGCTTGCTGTGTCTGACCCTCCTCTTTGTTGGGTGTACCACTGCTGGAACCCCAGGTGAGTCCTTATCCATAGCACTTCTTCCATTCTACAGAGCCTCCAAGAAACCCTGTCCCCAGGACTCTGTGGGGCATGCTCATGGCCTGCTCTATCCTAGTGTAGGTGGCAGGTTGGGCACTGGTCTCCTGACATTCTACTTGTTGCTTGCAGAACCTGTGTCTGAGGATGTACTGGTGGGCATCGTGGGGGGTAACAGCGCCCCACAGGGGAAGTGGCCATGGCAGGTCAGCCTAAGGATCTACAACTACTACACGGCCTCCTGGATGCACATCTGTGGGGGCTCCATCATTCACCCACAGTGGGTGCTGACTGCTGCCCACTGCATTCGCAAGTGAGTTCCTTTGCCATCCAGTGCTGGGTAGGATGAGGGGTAAATCGGAAGGGCGGGGCCAACGCCCCCACCATACTAGAATATGTCGTCACAGCTTCTTTCTGCCCTCAGGAGAGATGCTGACCCTTCATCCTTCCGGATCCATGCTGGGGATGTCTACCTCTATGGGGGCAAGGAGCTGCTGAGAGTGAGCCAGGTCATCATGCACTGGGACTATGTCGATGCTGGCCTGGGTTCAGATGTGGCTCTGCTCCGGCTGGAGAAACCCCTGGACTTCTCTGCCAACATCAAGCCTGTCAGACTGACCTCTGGGTCTCTCGAGATTAACGAGAAGGATGAGTGCTGGGTGACTGGCTGGGGTACAGTGAGCATGTATGGTAAGTATTGGGGAAGGATGTGAGCTGTGGGAACACACTTGCCATCTGAGGATTCCTTGTGGGTGGTACCAAGGTCCTGGGAGTAGGACCCAAAGAGGAAAAGAGAGTTGCAGACCCAACATGGACTAATCTAGCTACACCTCCAAGTTACTCTAGATGTCCATCTGAGTGTCTGCATCTGAGGCCAATGACACAGTTGGGTCCAGAAATCAAGATTCTGAGATGGAAGGATTGGTTCTTATTTTCCAACTAATAATAAAGTATTTTGGAGAAAATGTCAGCAAACAAATCCTTTTGTTTGGCCCTTGACAGACAAGTGGACAGAATCCATGTGTCCAAGCAGTTATGGGTGAACATGGCCCCTTCGGGCTGGCATCCACACATTCTTTTCCACAAAGGAGAGACTGACGCTTGTAGAGGCCTTAGACAGGGATGGAGCTACACTGGAGAGAGGCCTCCCCTCGACCCCCAGGTGGAGCAGTAGGGTCGTGGGATGGCTAGGGGAATCTATGCACCAACTGGTCCCACCTCTCTTCTTCCCAGCACCACTGCCTCCTCCCTACCGCCTGCAACAGGTGCAGGTGAAGATAGTGGACAATGACCTTTGTGAGGAGCTCTACCACAAAGCCTCCGGCCACCGCAATCAAGATCGGAGAATCATCCTACAGGACATGTTATGCGCAGGCAGTGAGGGCCGAGACTCCTGCTATGTGAGTCCCATCCACCTCCCCATCTCTGTCCTCATTCCCACGTCAGAGCCAATAACCATCAATGCTTCTTTTTCTCCCAGGGCGACTCAGGTGGCCCTCTGGTCTGCAGGGTGGCAGGCTCCTGGAACTTGGTGGGAGTGGTGAGCTGGGGCTACGGCTGTGCCCTGAGAGACATCCCTGGGGTCTATGCCCGCGTGCAGTCCTTCCTGCCCTGGATCACTGGTCAGATAAAGAAGTTCTCCTAAGACCAGCTGCTGGCCTCATGCCGGTCAGCCGACGACAGCTCGGCTTTCGTCACGATTCCTGGACGGCCGTGCAGGGCTTAGGCTCTGGAGCGCTGGCGCCCAGTGCGCTGAGCACTAGCTACTGAAGGACTATTTCCTGGCTTCTTTAATAAAAATGTGTTGCACATTCACGTTTGAGTTTTTGTATGAATACAAATCTGTTTTTTCTCTAGTGGAAACACCTATAGATGCTGTTTTAATGGTTTTCTAGACAAGTAAGCAAGGGCTGAAGTCACCAGACATGGGGCTCGGGCAGTCTGCACGTGTTCCCCAGGCACCCTGAACGGTTATCAGGCTGATTCTTGTCTCTCAAGCACCTAGCATCCCTATAGCATCCTGGAACCTGGATATGGTAACATTGTGCAGTGATAGGAAGGGTGACAATCCCAGGTGTCCCACCTTGGGACAATGATTCTCTGACCATTAGCAACGTCACTCTAGGGCCAGGAGACTGCTGCAATGCTGATGTCCTTCCTGTATCTCATTTGTGGTTTTTTTTTTACCCCAAGACTCTGTAGACTCAGTTATCCAGTGTGGCTAAGGTTATCTGATTGGCTTGGGCTGTTGCCTTGAACTACACACAGTGGCAGCTATCTAATTTCCGGAGTAAGGATGAAGGCCAGCAGCTGCACAGCCTCCCTCAGAGAGCAATTCTGACCCTGGGTACATGGTGGGTGGGGGTTGGCAGAGAGGGGCTGGAAGAGGCTCTGACTGGGGTTCTGCTGAGTCTGGAGGGGCAATCAGGATTGCAGGGAAGACCGTAGGGTCCTGTGGGGCTCCCAGCTGGCTAAACAGGGGCCTCAAGGCAGAGCAGGTTTGACCTCTGTTCTTCTGAAGGGAAGCAGGTGTCTTAGCATGTTTCCTTCCCTTTCCTGCCTGTAGCTGAGCAGAGCAATGAGAGAGGGGACTGTCCAGGGGGAGTGGCAGTCATCTGATTCCCATGGCTCCCACAGGCATCTGGACAGTGCCACTGTCCTCAAAGGTACCACATGCTCTCTAAACACACACACACACACACACACACACACACACACACACACACACACACACGCCCCTATTTATCCAGCACATCCCATCAAGAGCAAGACCCGCCCTGTGCTTCCAATACCTCTCCAGGACAGGGAGGGTGGAAGAAAAAGGCTTTTCTGTAGCACACAACTTGGGTGACATTGCTTCAGGGTCAGATGGCAAAGGGCAGAAGAATATGGAGTTTCTGACTATGGCTATTCCATGGCTCCCAGGATGCTGGAGTTGGATTGACCCAGTTCTTTCTCTTCTAACTCCTCCTTTCTGGGGGTAAGCAGGGGGTCCTCAGGGTGGTGGGGCAATGGGCACTGCTCCTCCGACTGAAGCAGTCAGATTCCCCACAGCCTGTGCTCGAGACCCTTCCTGTGCCACCCTAATGACCTTTTATTTTCTGCCGGTGACATGGTGGGAGCCAGGGCTAGGGAAGTGTGGTCTGTGGGCTGTTTGAATCCACTGTGCTCAGCTGTGCTCCATGTGGTACTGGATGCCCATGCCCGCTGTGAAGCATTCTGTGTGGCTTACAGGATGCTAATATCTAGAACAGGAGAGCCAATACTTGTCAACACTTCTAGGTGCCAGTCAATATACCAAAGGTGTCCTTCTGCTCTTCAGAAGAACATGTTAGTGTAAGTGCCCCTAGTCTACCTATTAGGGTTCAGAAATATTCCCTCAGTCTCTGGCCAAAAGCTAGTGGTCACAAGTGAGCATGTGTGTGTGCGTGTGTGCATGCATGCATGTGTATGTGTTTGTGCTTTGTGCATGTGTGTGCGTGCATGTGTGTGTGCCTGGATGCGTGTGTGTGTGTGTGTGTGTGTGTGTGTGTGTGTGTGTCTATGGAGGGGGGAAAGGGTGCATATATGGAAATCAGAGGACAGCTGTAGGAATCAGCTCCCTTCTCCTACCACGTGACTCTCAGGGATGGAGCTCAGGTTGTCAGGGTTAGTAGCTCTTGTACCTGCTGGGAATCATCACACCTGCCTCCAGCCCCAGACAAGATCTTTTTATTTGTTTTTTTTTTTCTTCTTCTGAGACAGGGTTTCTCTGTGTAGTCCTGGCTGTCCTGGAACTCACTTTGTAGACCAGGCTGGCCTTGAACTCACAGATCTGCCTGCCTCTGCCTCCCAAGTACTAGGATTAAAGGGTGCATCATACCTGGCTCTGAAACAGGATCTTCCTATGTTTGTAGCCTTGGCTGGCCTGAAACTCATTGTGTAGGCTAGGTTGGCCTCAGACTTGTGCCTCAGTATGCACCATGACGCCTGGGACAGAGTATACGTCTCACTAATTTCCACTGAGTGACCTTTGCCTGGAGGCTCAGAAAGTTGATCCCACTTGATAGATTCTAAAGGTGGCGGGAGGGGTGGGGAAGGAACCCCACCTCATCTTCCTTTATAGGATGGCACCGACTTCCAGAGAATATACCCTGGTGATATTCCTGCTGTAACCACACTCTTACCCCTAGGAATTAGCTTCATCTCCACATCCCTTACTGATGATGATATAGTAGCTTCTCCCTGCAAGGTCCTGACAGTCATCCACAGCAAATGAGGGTAGCAGGTCTGTGGAGGCACCCTCACCAGGCTGAGTGGGTGACATGCCTTCTTCTACATGTCCCAGGAAGCCCTAGGTGTAATGTCCTCTGCTGGGGCATCTGGGGCTGAGGGTAGTTGGTGCCTGCAGGCCAGTGTCTAGGGAGGCACACACTTAGGTGGTTTGAAGTCTGAGAGCTGGACTTGGTTTACACTCATCCTTTCTCACAAATGGCTCCAGCCCTATCCTTATCTACAGGGAAACAGATGCGTTTTCATTAATGGACATTGTTGATTTGGTGTTTTTTGTTTGTTTGTTTGTTTGTTTTTGTTCTTTCTGTTACAGTGCTGGGGGTTGAAGCCAGAGTCTTGGGCTGACAAGGACTCTGGCACCGAGTTATGTCCCCGGTCTGACATCGCTGCTTTTTTTAAAAAGCAAAATGCTCTCTAAAAGATGAGACAATTAAATGTAAAAGACAAGAAAATTAAATGGAGAAAATCATAATTGAATGTTGCTGCAGTCTGCACAGAGATGTTTCAGCCAAGCCTGGCCTTTCTCAGGGCCGAGTCCACTGTGTCCTGACGCCTTTGACAGGTGCTTCTGTGAACACACAGCTGGCTGGTCTCTAGTGAAATCTCGGCGTAAGTAAACCTTTTAGGATTCTATTAGTGTCAGAACCCTTTCTGGAATGTTCTTGATAAACCCGTTTTCAAAAAAACAATGACCAATAATAACTCCCGGGACATTGCCTGGGGACACTCCTGTGTCACATTCACTGGGCACAGCTCTTTCCTCCCAAGGCAGGGGAGATTGTCCCTGTACTCCAGATTAGGAGCGGAGGAGATAATGGTTTCCCTAAGGCCACACAACTCAGAAAACACAGGCTGAGGACCAATCGCTGAGAGTGTCAACCCTGGACCTTTCCCCTGCTCACCTCTGAGCCTGATGCCATGAGAAGAGAACAGGGAAAGTGTGGCCCTGGGCACTGAAGACAAGTCAGTACATTGAGACCAGCTTTGTGAGGTAGAGCTGTTAAGACCCCAGGCTTTTCCCTAACGCTAGTTCATCTCAATCCCAGGGACATTCTGCTCTGTTCCCGACTCCCAGGCTAATGTCCCATCTGTTCAAGGCTCGGACTGAACATCCATTAAGGCAGCCTCCAATACTAGTCAGGGGTATTCTGACATGCTGCTTCACAGCCAGGGCTCCCTCACCAGTGACTGATATTGTTTCTGCTCCCTCAGTGTCAACCTGAGAATGTTGGGAACTGGCCAGCATCACATGTGACTGAGCAAATATTGATGTGGAGTCCCCTCTGTGTGCTGTGATTACCATTAGTGAATAAAGGAACTGCCTTGGCCTGTTGATAAGGCAGAACTTAGGTAGGCCGGGAAAACTGGACTGAATGCTGGGAGAAGAAAGGCAGAGAGGGAGACGCTACGGATCCGCTGCCAGAGATAGATGTGCTGAGACTTTGCTGGTAGGCCACAGTCTTGTGGTGATATACAGATGAACAGAAATGGGTTAAATTAATATTTAAGAGTTAGCCAGTAAGAAACTAGAGTTAATGGACCAAGCAGTGATTTAATTAATACAGTTTCTGTGTGCTTATTTCGGGTCTTAGCTAGCCAGGCAGCTGGAACTAACAAGGAGGCCCTCCTGTAACAAAATCTAATTATGTGGATAATGTATATTTCTTCCTGGATCACCCAGAACTCAAGAAGAGGACTTTTGGGGTCTTGCAAAAGTACTGTCCCTAACCCAGGAGCTGGCTCAACAATAATCCATGTTCCCCTTGAGCATAGGCTGGGATATATTTGGAGACATTGGAAAACCTGGCCTGAGCCTCTGATCAGCTGTAGTTTAAGTGTCCTGACAACTCCAGTCATTTTACTCCAAGACAATGATGGCCCAGCGCCTCTTGCAACACCAGCTCTGAGCAACCACATCCTTCACCTAACGGCATCCAGGAACCCAGAACTTGGATAGGACCTCTCATGGGTTAGGTTGTGGCTCCCGAGCTAACGGCTACCTGACCCAGATCCTGGGCTCCCTAGTTCTCTCTGATCCTATCGCTGGATGTGCTCGTTCATGGTGGCCTGGTCCCGTCTCTATCAGGTATCCTGTCTCCAGGTCTTGTTGCCTAACAGTGACAGCAGGACCACTCATGGGGGCCTCAGGTGATCTTACCCAGATAAGGCACCCTGGGCTTGCAACAGCCATAGGAAGCAGGAAATGGTTTTCCTTGAGTGATCTCGTGGGTCACTCTCCAGGTTTTGCTAGGCTCCTTGGGAGACGTAAACTCACCTGCTGTCTGTATTCCCATGCAACTGCAAAAACAAGCATCTCTTGTCTAGGAAAACCTACTTCTCCCTCTTTTGCCATTCCCAGTCTTACTTTGTTTT